ACATTTCCCCCTGGTATAGAATAATGTCTCAGAAGAAATCTATTGATAAATTCTTCCAATTGAAAAAAAATATTACTTGCACAGAATTACAAAAACCAGGAGCCCACATTATACTTACCAAGGCTAAATATATATAATAGAATATATTGGGAGAGCAAAACAGAGCACCTGCATTGGGCCTAATTCTAGATTAGCAATAAAGGAGCTGGCATTGATTGCATTCCTTTTACACAACTTTAGCTTAAAAATTTCCAGGATCCTTCGGACACACACATTAGTGCTATCTCATAATTTTTTTCTCTTGCTTTGCTTGTTTTCTCCCTTCTATGTTTTCCCTTCAGGCAAACAGAATTTTTAAAGTAGCATTCATAATGAGGCATATATTTCCAGAAAAATATGCATTGAAAGTGTATTTAAAGGGTCGAGTATTGCCAGAGGTTGTAGTTTACCAAGAAGCATTACTCAAGACCCAAAATGATGCCTTTAGGAAGAAATACTCTAAAATTCTGTGATTCTTCAAACCTCTTCCACCCATTAGTTCTGACTTTACAGAACATACTTCTCTCTGTGGCCAAAGGGTAAAGGAAACTTTCATTTGAAGAAAAAAAGGTGGGGAAAAGGAGGAGGGAGGAGATGTCAGTAACTTAGGCTAAAGAAAAATTTGAAGAAATACAGGTCCAATATGTTAGGAAAACCAAAATTGCAGTCATGGAAGTGATTAACAAAGCAAAATGTTCTACAAGTCAAGATATTCCAGGCCCAAAACAAGCCTTCTAGCTCTGGGGCTACCCAACAAGCCGCACAGTCATCAGAATCTCCAATGAGGCTAAAAGACAGTTTGGGGCCAGGCCTTCAAAGCTAAACAGAAGAGTTTATATTTTGTCCTAGACACAACAGGAAGCCCTCGAATTGGTTGAGTAGGGGAGTCACATGGGTGATTAGCATTTAAGGGAAATTACTTTGACAGCCCGGAGACGGCCATGAAACAATTCCAACACCCTCTTTGTCTGACCATCCTCCTTTAAACCTTCTTCCAAGTTATACCATATTCCTGGAATGCCCACTGTAAGTTACCACAAACTTTTCCTTTTTCCACCTGTCCATCTGCCCCTGGCCTTCCTTCCTTTAACTCCAAGAATTCTGTCTTCTTCATGAAATTTTCCTGAAGTAATACAAAAAAAAATGATTTTCCTCAACTCTTTTTTTTTCTGAATTTAAATCAAAATTTGTCAGATCTAAGAACCTTTTACCCTTATCTTGAACATAACACTTTTTATACAATTGGTATCCTTAACCTCTTTAACCATCTATATGAGTTTTACTGTTATTATTAATATTTTGAATATTGGACCTATGATTTGATTGTTGTAGGGCACTGCTTTGGGCATTGAAAGGTTAGGTGACTTGCTTAGGACTTCCAGACTCTAAGACTGCTTCTAGTATACCTTCATATATATTGTTCTAAATATGCATTGTCTTACTTGAAACATAAACCTGTATGATTCTTCTCTGCATAACTCTTAGTACAGAGTCACTTAAAATCTTAATGATGGGGGACAGTTAGGTGGTGCAGTGGATAGAGCACCAGCCCTGAAGTCAGGAGGACCTAGGTTCAAATCTGGCCTCAGACCAAACACTTGACACTTACTAGCTGTGTGACCCTGGGCAAGTCACTTAACCCCAATTGCCTAAAAAAAAAATCTTAATGATGACAATCACAAACACAACAACTAATCTACTCGTTCCCCACTGGGACCATTGTTTTGCTTTTTTTTAAATGTCCAAATACCTTGATTTCCTAATTTCATTTCTTTGTTATCCCTTTAAATACACATATACATATATATGTATATATATAATGTGTGTATAATATATGTCATTTTCTTCAATTTTGCTGTTAGTCTGAATTTTTTTTTAAATTGTTAATTTGATTTTTTAACACTCTGCTTTCTTTTATTCACCAAATGGCCCAGTATCTTTATTAAGTTTTTAGACATGTAACACATATGACAACCTGTTTTGCTATAAACCAGCTGGGAGCTTACAGGGTAAATAAGGTTAATGCTGCAGAATTTTTGAACAGGTCACTAAAAGTATTTATATGACATAATGGGTTCAACAGAGGTCAAACTTACCTGAGTCATCATTTAACCAGGGGCTCCATAAGGGGTCATGGCTTACTTAGAAAGGTGCTACCCATTCCCCTAAGTTACAAAACCAAGCCCCTAGGGACATACAATCAACGGTAGATTCCTTAGCAACTAGCACTATGAAAAGTGCCAAAGACCTACAATGAGATTTTAATTAAATACTTTCCATTATTTCCCTTTTCACAGTTAGCAACAAGTAAACACTGCTAAATACACTCTGTAAACAGGCTCAATTTTCAATATTGGGTGAAGTTCCTAGATTATTTTCCAATCCTTTGGGAAGGTTAATGTTACTCTTACATAGCCCTTCTCAAGAAGGGCTTCCATGTGCTTGAATGGGTAATGAGCTTTATTTAATTACGTAATTATGACATATAACATACAATATAGGAATGTGTATTTTGTTAGTTCTTTTCATTAAGTTATCCCTGGGAGTTAGGATTGGGATCTATTAAAGGCTTGCTTTATTTGGAGATGAAGGCAAAACTTTCAAATTGGTAATTCAATCTAATAAATATCTATTAAGTGCCTACTATATGCAAGGCATCAGGCTTAAACTACAAAAGAGAAAACAGTCCCTATTCTTAATGATTTAACATAGTACTGAAAAATCTCATCCTTTCCTCTGAAGTTCAGACCACAAAAAATTTCCACCCTATTCCTACCTTCCTAATTGTTGTATAGTGTCCTTCAGAACATTTCTCCACCTTCTGGCTCTATTGCCTGAATTTCTTTAGTACCTGGCTTAGTCTTTTTCCTTTCTTTTCCACCCCTGCCATCATTCTCTTCACCTTAAACATAAATTTTAGTGACCTAATACCCTAAATAGTTTCTTGACCTCTGCCTCCATTCCATCCACCTACCAGCAACTAGTACAGTTAAGAACTCACCCAGAAATATATTTGCTCCAAAATCTTGGATACTAAAATTATCCTCTGTATTTCCTTACTTTTCCTGAGCTTATTTTTATGATTTATAATCACTACTACTCCCTTGACCCCATGCCCTTTTGTTCTGTGAGGAATCCCTTATTCCTGTCCATACCCTATTTAGACTTCACTCACTTCCCTGATGACCCAATAGTCAGTCACTCCAACACATCTGGTATCAATCTACAATTACTGTTAAGTGCTCCTTGGAGCCAATTTCAATATTTCTTAGGCTGACTTATTTGACTGTTCACCTGAAACAAATTAATTATCATTTATTTGTTATTAAATCTAACCTTTAAAATTTTGTGTTGTTCCTAGATATTGTAATATGGACATTGCCAGAAGATAGTTAAGAATTTTAATGAGAAAACAATGCTTTTTTCCCCAGAAGCTAAAGGTTAGGGCCTGCCCTAGAACCATCCTTACTTCCAAATTACTCCTGAGTCTTGTACCTCAGAATCTTTAAAACCATCATTAAAACGATGTCCTTAAATTGTCAAAAGGATTGGCTATCCACAAGTATTTTAAGGACATATATTTTATTTATATTTTTAACAAACCTAATCAGATACTAAACCATCAAATAACTGGGATCTCTAGGAGAGGAAAATAATAAAATCTATCACCGATTTTAAATGTCCTCTCTTAAAGTTTGTATGGTCTACAAGTCACCCCACTCCATTAAGTTCGGGGTTCTGTTCTTAAGTTTAAAATGAAAGAAATCAACTCTCTCATCAAGTCAAAATAATAGCACTTAGAATGTGTTTCACTATGTCTGTCTATATTAGGCAGAAACTGTGTATTTTTGTAGGAACTAAGGACTAGTGAGCCCCTGCAGAAGTAGACCAGAGCTCAAGGTCCACCTCTGACACATTCACTAACAGCGTGTGTCCCTAGGCAAGTTACTAATCCTGTCAGTGCTCTTTCTCAGAGATTCGATAAAGTTGCAGAGGAGGCACAAGTATGGTAGAAGCAGTTTCCTCACCTGGGAATTCCCTATATTAATGACATCACTATCGTTATCATTATCAGCAGCAGCAGTAGCATTAGCATTTGTGTGTTGTTTTTAGGTTTGCAAAGTGTTTCACAAATAGATCATTTGATCTTCACAACTTTAGGAGGTAGATGCTGTTATTACTCCCATTTTACAGATGAGGAAGTTGAGGCAGAAAGCGATCAAGTGACTTGCCCAGGCTAGTGAGTGTCTGAAGTCGTTCTTCATCTCAGGCCTTGCTGACTTCAGGTCCAGTGCTCTATTCACTTTGCCACACAGGTCCATTCCCTAGACCCCCTATTAAAGTTTATGGTCTACACATTATTCCAACTCTTTCAGTATTTAGGTTTCTGTTCTTAAACTAAAATTTTTTGAATTGATTCTTCTCTCAAATCAGAAGACCAATGCCTAGAATGTTTCACTATGCATATCTGTCTACTTGAGCTTTAGGTAGAAACGCTTTGTATTTTTATATCATTGGTAAAATGTTCTGAGAATAAAGCTTCCCAATTCATCAAAAACATCACTGATGATTCCAAGTGTATGTAGTCATGAAGTCTATTCAGATTCTTAATCCAATACCATTTACTACAGCAGTCAGGAAGAAAGACAGCATCCTTTTACATTCTTATTCAGATGATCCCCTTTACACAACATAGCTACTGCAGAGATTTGCAATGATAGGCTGGGACACATATTTGAAAAACTTTGACTTGCTGAAAGTCTAGCCAGAATCTACTCTGTTGAGAGATTAAGGCACAGTACTATTCACTTTCCCTAGCCATGCTGTGGGAGAACGGAACATTTGCAAGCACACTGCAGAAAGGATGACAGAAAGAACTGTAAATAACCCCTAATACCTGGCTTATCACAAAGCAAACCTGGCAAGAATGGAGCATATGTCACTGCACAGAGAAATCTTACCTCCTGTTATCCCAGAGGGGTTCTGCCTTTTCTAGATCTAAGTGCATCCATCACTTCAGACCAGATTCATGAAGCGGCAAATAAGAAAAATAAGCCATTCTCCGAGCATTCATTCTCTTTTGCTAAACAATGGGCCTATCTTCACAACATTCAAGGGAGTGATCCCTTGAGTTATGTCCCAGGAGAGATAGTTCTATGCAGAGCGAGAGAAGTAATTCAAAGCTGATCCTTTCCTCTATCTGCTTCTCAGACGCTCCTGCTGCTTCTCTTTCCCTTATGAAAAGTGTCCAGTAATGTAGCATTTAAACAGGGTGCTAGTGAAATACTAACTGATCAGGAGAGTTCTGCCCACTTGGGAGAAAACCCTGACAACCTTTCCCTGCTTAAATGAAAGCTTATCTGTGTTTAGGCATCCTAAGTAAAAAAGAGAATTGTGTTATGTCCCTTCAGCTCAGCCAGCTGTGGCCACTCCCCTGCAAAGGGTACAGGATGCAATCGGCCCATCCTCCCTCAGCTTCCTTCCTTTACTTTTCCATGGGAGAATTCCAAACACACACACACACACACACACACACACACACACACATACATACACACACACACACACACGAAGTGGATTGATATCAAACTAGCTTTTTTTTTTTTTTTAAGTATAACCATGAGTTAGTTACACAATGAAACAGAACTCAGTGGACTTTGATAATTAACTGGAGTGCAGCTAATTTAATTAATTAGAGGGAAGGGGGAAGGAGGGAATAAGCATGTATATAGAACCTAATATGTGCCAAGCACTTGCCTTTACAATTATTATCTCATTTTATCCTCAGCTCTGGGAGGTAAGGCCTATTATTATTCCCATTTCACAGATGAGGAAACTGAAGCAAACTGAGGTTAAGTGACTTGCCCATGGTCATGTACCTAGTAAGTGTCTTAGGATGGATTTGAATTCAGGTCTTCCTGACTCCAGGCCTAGCACTCTATCCAGGTACCATCTTTCAGCTTGCCAACATGATTAGCTAGTGAAATAGCTACATGGTATTCTAGCCAACACGTGGGAGGAGATGATAACGTATAAATTAATGGTTAAGGGAGTAGCCTCTAGAAAGTCTTCCAACTCTAACAGATTTGATGGCAAACTCCTATCAAAGATTTGCCTTTAATACTAAAATGGGTTTGCTGAACAGAGAGGTGAGAGGACATGTGTGTAACATAACACACTATCAGACATGGTCAATGTGTCACTGTATTGCTTGACTGCTTTTCATTTTACAAGGGAAGGCTCTACAGTGGAGGAGTGTACTGGGAGAAATGTCTAAAAAATGGCATCAATAAAACTTTTAAAAAATAATAAATTGGAGAAAGGGCATGATTCCAGTTACTTTATTTTCCTTTTCCTAGAAAGCTGGGGGCAGGGGGAGGGGAGAAAGCTTAGGGTCACCAACATTTCGTGAAAAGATTGATGGCCCTGTAGCTTATAGGCCCCACCTGGGACAGCTGAAAGCACTCAATAAACACTTGTTAAATGAATGAATGCCCTCTTTATATTGCATTTCTCATCTCTCCAAAAAGCACGCAACTCCACTGACAAAAGAAGAAAAATTCTATAACAAGTAGACCTCATGAAGAAAGAAGATGATTGAATTTAAACCCTTTACCATTGGGCTATGTTATTCTCCAACTACTTTTCAACCCAGAAATCAAAGTAGTCCTGAAACTTTAAGGGGCTTCAAATGCTTCAGGTTAGAAACTAAGTAGATATGAGGACTACAGCTTTCTGAAGGACACCCTTCAGGCTACAGGCTATGCACCGAGGAGATCCTCCAGTCATTTAAGGTGATCTGAGTCTTGAAAAGAAATTCCAATTGTCACAGCAGATCTTCTGGATTTATCCTATCTCTAATTGGCAACTCTGACATAATGCCCCTAAATGTCTCTATGGTGCTTTCTAGGTCTAACACCATATGATTTTATAAAAAAAAGTCAGTCTTAGGCTTGAAGGGTGGGGGGCTTAAAGATGGTCGATGAACTCACTGCCACAGAGAGGTAACTAACTGGTCCACAGCCTTGCCACCCCCCATCCCCTTATTGATAGGAGCAAAAGAAAATAAAAACTGTAGCACAGCAGCACATCTTTCAAGAGATGAATTACTTTTGTTTCACCCTGATGGCCTCCTAGAATAACTACATTCTACAAATTAGTAAACCAACATCATTCAAACTAGTGAAGCCTCCTTACCCTCTTCCAATCAGGAGCAAGCTTTATCCATAGCCTTCTTTATAGATACAATTATCATTTATGAACCTATATGTACAGTGCACAGTATAAAAAGGCTAGAGAGCATCTGATAGCATGTCTATCAGTCCTGCTCAAATGTGTAACTCTTGCTAACCCTCTGACTTATGAGACTCAGTACCCTGCTTTCCTAAGACCTAGATTATATGCTTGCTTCTCTCTACTTTAGCTGACCTCCCTGGTCTTAACTAGTTGCCTGTCTAAAACAATGGCACCTTCCAGACTCTATCCTACATGGATCTTGAAGGGACCTTAGAAGTTGGTCTGGATTGGGCCTAACTCAATATAGTCCATGGTTAGCACTTAATGAGGCACTGGTGCACCATAAAATACAATAAAACAACTTTTTGGATTAGATTAAAAAGGTTATAACTCTTAATTGAATTTAAATTCAAATGCTTCTCCCCTCCACCTCTATGTTTACCACAAGGATCAGAACCACTGGATCAGGAAAGAGTTTCTGAAAGGCAGTAGGAATTCCCCTAAAACCTCCAGAGTACCAATTCCCAAGAGGCTGAGCCTTTTGAATTGGGGTAGGAGTAGATATGAAGGAAGGGGAAAAAGAAGCAACCAACCCAATCTTTGAATCTCTAGTTCCCCAAGCCAAACAAATCCCAAGGACAGCTTCCCTGGCCTCTTAAAGGGAAACTAACTCTGTCTACTTAAAACAAGCATTGTGCCTACCATCATTTAGGTCAACCCCCTTGCTTTACAGATAAGGAGGTTAAGATTTGTACAGATATTAAAGGGGCTTGGTCAGAATTTGAACTTAGGTCCTCTGACTCCAAATCCAGTCAGTCTTCTTTTTACTTTATCACATTCCCTCTGTTATGTGGACTCATTGTCCTATCTCTTCCTGGCTGATTGTGGCCAGATGGAGAAGGGGATAGAGCACTGGCCTTGGAGTCAGGAAGACTCATCTTCGTGAGTTCAAATGTGACCTCAGACACTTACTAGCTATGTGACCCTGGGCAAGTCACTTAACCCTATTTGCCTCAGTTTCCTCATCTGTAAAATAAGCTGGAGAAGGAAATAGCAAACCACTCCAGTATCCTTTCAAAGAAAACCCCATATGGGGTCACAAGGAGTTGGGCATGATTGAAAAATTATGAAACAACAACATGAAGCCAGAACCAAAAGCCATTTTCTTGAATAGAGTCTAGTTCATTTAAAACCTAAAGAATAGATTTTTGAAGGAAATCAGAACCCTTTACCCACCAAAAGAAATCAACCATCATAATTATGTTTACTTAGCATGTTCCTTAAATTCCTTATTGTTTTCCAGCCAAAAAATTTGGAATATAAACTACATTCACATATGGGCTTAGACTAAAGATATATTTTATCTGAAATGTATTAAATAAAACATACAGGCAGCCATTTTGCAGCTTCAGGTGGAGTTTTGAGAAACATTTCAAACACAGCAGCCCATTTTATTTAGATAAAGTAGCACTATGCTCATTTACCTCTTCAGCCTTTATAGATCTAATATGATTTTTATTATTTTCTCCAGCTCACAGCCTTATATATTCCATCCAAAGCCAATCAAAACTAAGGGAGAAAAAAACACAGGACACTTTGCACCTTCATATACTACTGAATGAATTACAACCCAAAGAACATGAAAGTAGCTGTCAGAAATATGAAGGGAAGGAAGCTCTGTATATATGCAATTTTATCAGCATGGAGATGTTTTGCAATACACATGACGGCCCACTTAATCACTAGAGTTGTCAGTAAGGTAACTTGTTCAATGTTACAAAGCTAGTTAGTATTATTAGAGACAGAATTTGAACACAGGTCTTCCTGATTCTATCATTCCATGCCACCTCCATGACCTAAAACATAAAGGGAGAAAAATCCCACAGTACTTTTGTTTTATAAAATACTCAAATGAATCTGTGTCTTATTTTTCAGGTGTTCCTTCTAATTATGCACATTGCAACCAATCTCTGCTTGTCCATCCTGTACATCTCTTGTCCATGCTCAGCCAGAAGTTTGGAAGAGAAGTCCAGAACGTACCAGAAACCTTTCTCACTTTCTTGCAAAATCTCAAGAGTCCTGGGAGGTACCCTGGCTGTTCACCTGTCATCCTTCATTCTTGCCACATGACCCTTCCTGCCACACAATTTCTTGATATTATCTTTTATTCTGGTTCCTCTTCAGAGTCCCCTGTTGGTTATATGTTGTAGCGTGCTCATTCCCACCATGCACCTTTCCTTTGTTCTTTATGTGACACTCATCTTTAGTTTTTGAGAGACTGGAATTCCATGCCTTTGCAATATAGCAACACTAGTAGAATTTTACTATTGAAAACATGGTCATCTGCTTTCCTAGGTAGCTGGGGTGGGGGGTGTCAGTGAAAAAGCTTATTTAGGATAAAATACAAACTCCTCCCTTTGCCATTCAAAAACCTTCACAATCTGATTCCAATATTTATTTTCAGGCTTCTTGTATATTACTGTCCTTTGTGCACTCTACATCCCAGTCAAACTTGACACATTTACTAAACTTCCAAAATGACATCTTGAGCTTTGGCACAGGTTGCCTCATTAAACAGGCCTGGATTGCTTTCCTTCCTCACTTCCACCATGCAGAATCGCTAGCTTCCTTCAATGCTAAACTCAAGTGTACATACATAAGGCCTATCCTCATCCTTCCAGTTGCTACTATCTCTACTATCAATCAAACAATACATATCTATTAAGGACATAACACATAGGTGTACATGCCAGGCACTGTGCTAAGCACTGGGAATACAAAAAGAGACAAAAGACACCCCTTGCTATGAAGGAGCTTACAATCACTACTCACCAATAATTTTATTTACCTTAGACATATTTTATAATTACTTATCTGTGTTCCCACTGTAATAGAATGGAAGCCCCTTAAGGGCAGGGACTGTTTTGTTTTTGTCTCAGTATGTCCGGTGCCTAGCACAGTCCAGTTAGTTCTACTAAAACGTGACACATGTATTCCCCCAAAAATTGCACAATAAAGGCCCCCAGGCTTATGGAGGAAATGGTATTAGGTGAATAAGACTTAACAACTTCATCAGTGATGCATTAAAAAAAGAGATATGAACCTAATAAATATATGTATCTATCTATC